ATAGACACTTCTCAGATAAAGAAGTAGTAATAGAAAATAAATATATATATATAAAATCTAATATCATTGGTCATTTGAGACATGACTAGTAAACCAATGCTTAGAGTACATCTCACCCTAGAAAGAATGGCTGTTATCTAAAGATCAACCATTAAAAAATTCTGGTGGTCTGCAGGGAAAAAGTTAATTTCAGTATATCAAAAAAGATGTACAAATATACTACATTGGGTTAATTTTGCTTATATTTTAATCAAAATTTTAGATCATATGATGTTATTAAACAAACTGAATCTAAGTGTATTTTTGGAACTTTCTTATGTTAAAAATACTGATGTTGGGCCAGCAAGATAACTCAGTGGACTAAGCACCTACTTAGGCAAGTACAGGGAACCAGGTGCATTCTCCAGCACCACATGCTGTGCCAGCACCTGGGTGCACTGAGCTGGCAACCAAGCCCAGCCATGGTGGTACATGCCTGTGATCCCAGCATGGGGGAAGCTGAAAACAGGAGGATCACTACAAGTCCAAGCTGCATAGTGAGACCCTGTAGACTCTGTACTAAATACATAAAAAAATTCAATGTCACAATCATGCCATCCAACTATCAATAAGTCAGTGTTTCTCATTGCTAATTAAATTGGAAATCTAACGCCTAAATAAACCCATTCCATTTTTGATAGCTAGTTAGGAAGCTCTTTATTACCTTGAACTAAATGTATTCAGTCATCTGTTCCTTGATTTTGGTACTTTCTTTATGCAAAATATGGAATCTTTTTTCTCTTCCATATGAAAATCTTTCATATTTTTGAAACAATAATGTTTCATTTCATCTTTTTTACCTCAATTATTGGGCATTATTCATTTTTTTAAAATGATCTCACCATTATGTCATTTTATTTTAATCAACCTTGTGACACCATTTGAAAACCCTCCAGCTTCTGTACCTGCTCTTGGATTTGCACAGAGCAGAGTCTGCCTCTATCTTGTGTCAATAGGAAAATAAAATTAGCTTTCTTGGCAGGCACAAATTGGTATTGATTTGATTCTACTTACTATTAAGTAAAATCCTTTGACAGTTTTCTGATACAAAAGTGTATCTGAACTGTACTGGTAGAAACAGGTCCAAATTTCTAAGTCTTTAAACTATTCTGTATTATTCTACCAAATCTGTCCTGCTACTTTAAGATATCAAATTTGATCACAATCTAAAATTCATGTCGTTTGCTATTATGTGCCTCTTATGGCAGCACCCACTTTTTAAATATCACTATGTAAAAATATCCTTAACCCAGAGAGGAATCTCAATTTTGTGACAGAAGAAACATCTTCAAGACATTGGGTAACTTGACTGAAGTACCCTGAAACACTGCACAATATTTGGAATTTGACTGGAGATTTACCTGATTTCAAAATTCATGATTTTATTTATTTCATTTGCTTCTACTAAGCTACCTTTCCATAACCATCAAGATTGTTGGTATACCAAATGAGCCATATAGAAGGGTGTGATGGAATATATAAATAAATGTATGTGCTCACCGAGCAGCTCCTTTGCTTCTATCTAGAAAGAGGGCTCCACCTTTCTAATAATGCTAACAGTGCAAGTGAATCATAATTGTTGGTCAATTGAGTTTTGGCCAGTCTCTTGTAAATCTATATTATCATATTTATTTAGGTAGTACTTTTTCATAGTATGAAACATTTTGCAAATTAATTTATTAAAATCTGTATATACAGCCATGCCCAGCACAGCTCTTGAAGTTCCATGGGTGAAGAGTGATGGAGGATGAAGAAATGAAGACAAGAGCCACAAAACAGGAAGTGAGGTCAGGGGGAGCCCTCTTTCCAGAAGGGTGCAAAGGAGTTGCTCAGTGAGCTCGTACATTTCTTTATACACTCAGTGACACCCTCAGGTGCCTGGTGCCTTCTGTGCTGGAGCAGCCAGTTCACGTGGCTCATTTAGGGCACTCTTAGTTCTCCAGACAGGCCTTCCTCCAGCTCTATGTGTGTGCTTCCTCTCCAGCTTAAGGCATCCCCACAATATAGAATCAAAATAGAATCACTCAGTAGTTATCTTTAGAAAAAACACTATGTGATATAATGTAGTTATTAATGTTTGCAGTGATAAAATGAAATCATTAATAAACTGGGTTTCTGTACAAAGAATAAAGTTGTGAACATTCATTAAATGCTTGAAAGAAAAAAATTGTAAGAAAACTTTAATTATCTATTGCTTATAAACTATAGTTCTTCAAAATGTATTTCCTTTCAATAAAGTTGAACATATGGAATGTTGGTGTACAAGCTTGTTTTTATGTATCCTTGCTGTTTGTGAATAATTTTTGGCAAACTTGTAGTAAGTATCAATTTTCTGTATGATATTAAAATAAGAATGTTGGACAATAATTCAGTTTTAAAATGAACAATTGCTTTTATGCCATCAGTTTGAAAACATAACTCCATTTCAGTAGGTGTATGCTTATCTTCTCAGTCCCTACTATTTTCATTAAAATTTCTCCATACATAAAATCTGAAGCATCTTTTTAAGGACTTGGGCATAAGCTACCATTGCTATTGTGAAAACACTTCTCTTTCTCAATATATATAACTATTTAAATGAGAAATAAATCCATAGGCTGAAGTAGGACAATTAAAATACCTTTTTAGATTTTTCCAGCATAGTTGTAGGTATATGAACTAGAACTGAGGAATATATTTGTCACACACACACACACACACACACACACACACACACTTCTTAAAAATAAAAATGAAAAACATTCTTTGATTAAAATGAAGGAAACATGAAGAAGAAAGCCCAGAAAACACATAATATTATGCAAGGTATTAAGTGGTGAGTCTCGTATTTGGTTTTTCCATCGTATATTTATGTCACAAAACATACTGTATGTCCTCCCCTTCGTTGTCTAGGAAGATTTTCTTCTGTGCTTTTCAAATGCTTTCCACTTATTTACTAATTTAGCATAAATCTGATTCTTATAATAAATGGCTTCTTATGGATATTAACTGACATATTGTTTTTCTTTTAATTAACAGGCAAGTAAGGTGCAAACATACTAACTCAATTTTGCTTAAGAGTGTAAATTTCTGGAGAGTGTATTTATGTGAATATGTGTGATTTATGTTTTAGAAAATGGTTGTAGAAGCAATTCAGTACCATAAGGGACAAAACATAAGTGTAAAATACTGCCAAAGAAATACAATATTTAATTAAATTAAACTAAGTTGATTGAAATAAAGTTTAAAAATGTTTAGGCAAATAAAGGAAAATCAGTGGATTGATATGGAGAAGACTTTAATAAAAAATTTGACCAAAACATATGAGCAAAAGGATATGCGAAAAAGAGCAAGATTCATTAACAGAGGATTGGTACATGTAATTTTGATGAATGACTTTGAATGGCCTATAACATGAATTGAAATTGGTGAAGTCTAGAGTTCCATATGTATTGGAATACAACTAGAACATCCAGATATTAAAAATATAACCACTTTCGCTTGGATATAGAAATGTATACTATAGAAAATATATAATGGTAAATTATTGTAGAGGGTTGGGGAGACAGCTCAGTAGAATAAATATCTGCCTGGCAAGTGCAGGGTCCTGAGTTCAATCCCTGATATTAAAAAAAAAATTAAAAACTATTTTAGGCAGAGGGTTGATGATAGAAAAAGGTCATGAGTAGTTTTCAAAGTAATGAATTTGTGCCTTGCTAATGCAGTAACTCAAAGGTTAGAGTGATTGTGGAGAGAGAGGGAAATTTTTCTTTAACCAACTGCTATGTTGATGCTTTTGATGAAATTATTGTATGTTGTGGAAGAAAGCACCTAGAGAATTACATTTTGAAAATAGCCTTATAGAGACACTTACTAAAATTCTAAGTGTTTTCATTCGTAAGATAGATATAATAGAGGAAGAAGGTGGAACTTTTAAGGATATCTGAGTTTAAAATGTAGGTTAAATTAGACCCATATTGCTGGGAGTATAGTTCAGGGCAAGAAACGCTGGGTTTGATCCTTGTCACTTAGAAAAAGGCCTATACTAAGATTGAGTCCAAGAAACATTTTTTTTAAAATATAAAAGGGCCACATAAGAGTATGGTCTAAGGTTAAGGAATAGCATACTTAGAGAAGATACCAATAATGGTTCTTTATAACATGTAAATAATTGAATTTCACTACAAAAAAGATCCTTAACAATCTTAGAAACTTTTTATTAAAATGGAAAGTTAAAGTGGAAGATTTCTCATAGGGCTGGCCAGATAGCTCAGCAGACTAAAGCTCCTGCTTAGGCAGACACAGGGACCAGGGTTCAATTCCCAGAGTGGCATGCCAGCCCCACCCCAAGAGCACACTGAGGAAATGACTGAGACTACAAGTGGTGGTGTGCCCCTGTAATCCCAGCACTTGGGAGGCTGAAAACAGGAGTATCACTAAGAGTCTGATCTATATAGTGAGACACTCCCTGTACTAAATACATAAATAAAATAAAATAAAGTTGAAGATTTCTTAAAGAGTGTTCAAGCAATGACTACATGAAGTAAATTGGGTAATTTGTAAATTGCAGGTAAAATGTAATGCTAGGTACAGTAAAACTCCAAAAAGCTTAGATTTCTATAAAATTCTGGAACATGCTCTTGTGAGTTTAATTTGTTTGTCTAAATATTTTACATCCTAACCTTCATAAACTTAAGTTTTTCTTAATATACCCAACTTCTTTATTAAACTGAAGAATATTAATTTCTTACAGATACAACATTGGCAATGATGGCTTCTGCAGAGCAGAAGGGTCTTGTCCCCTTCAGCAGAAAGTCCTTGGAACTTATAAAGCAGCACATTGCTAAGAAGCACAGTGAGGAAAGTGAAGAGGATGATTTAAAGCCAAATCCTAGCTTGGCTGTTGGCAAAACGCTCCCGCTTAGTTATGGAAGCCTTTCTGGTGGGATGGTGTCAGAGCCCTTGGAAGATGTGGACCCATATTACTACAACAGAAAGGTAAGAAATTAATTAAAAGTTATGACTACATTTCTATGTTATTTTTCAAATGTGCAACAAATGTAGATAAAAATAGAATATTAACACACAAAGAAAGAATTTGAAATTATACAAAGCTGAATACATAGTATTTTCTTTTGGGAACACATGTATATAAGATTCTTATCAAATCTAGTAACTTATCTGACTTGTAGTTTGATTACTTATTACAATATTTTGCACTATACCTTAGTATAAATGATTTACTTTATGAGAATATGGTAAGTGACTATTTGTGGTTATCAGTCTTGAGTAACTAAAATTTCTGAGATGTACAAAATTTAGAACAGCTGGGGCTGAGGAGATAGCTCAGTGGAGTAAGTGCTTGCCTGGCAAGTGCAAAGTCCTGTGTTTGATCCCCGGTTCCACCAAAAAAACCCTAAACAAACAAACAAAAAAATTTAGAACAGCTAATTTGATGAGTTTTGTCAAAAGTGAGGAAAATATTCAATCTACATTCTTCATTTGCACTCATATGTTCAATTATTTGTGTCTTACCTCTAGGAAAACTTGAAAAATATACCAATATATTTATAGCCCTAAAGTTCATAGGATTATAGAATATTAAATATAAAAAATGTTGCATAGAAAAGACAGAGACTGTGTAGACTAATAAACCTGGAAGTGTCTTGATTGAGAAAGGAAGCCTTGACTAAAAACTTGAAGACTACTTCAAATTTTAGTAATGCAAATCAGAGACCTATTTATTTATGTTTTTTTTTTTACTAATAACAAACAACATTAATTTTATTTCCACTTATTTCATGCTCAATATATTCCCGTGCCTTAAGTCTTTGTTTCTTCAGTTTCTTCCGGGATATCTTTCTCTTCTGTGCAACTTCCTCTTCTGGTTTAGGAACAATTAGTTCCTTTTCAGTAAGCATCACCTCAATATGGCAGGGGGGAGCTCATGGATGGATTAATCTGGCCACAAGCTCTATAAGTACGGCCGCACATCTTGGGTGCTTTGTTCACCTGGATATGTTCAATTCCAGAGAATCTACATCTAAACCCTTAAGTTCAGTATTGCTCTCTGCATTTTTAAGCATGTGCAGCAAAAATTCAGCACTCTTTTTGGGCCACTGATCTTCTGTCCAGCCCCACTGTTTGGCCTGGGCACACCTACCAACTCCACTGTTGTAACACTGGAATGGTACACATTGCTTTTTCAATGTTACATTCTTCAGATACTTAGTGGTCTTTCAGATATGCGTGTCCTAGATGGCCTGGGAAGTTTCTTAATGTGAGCATGAAGATTTGAGCCTCTTGATTTGCATGATTTTGTGGAGTTTTCTGGTTTGAGACAGTAGAGAACCATTTTCACAGGTCACCTCAGGCCACTCACAGGAAGAGGAGGAGACCTTTTATGACGAGGCAAGGACAGAGACTGATTCTGGAATAGAGGAAAGGATGAGAGATGCTCTAACTGGAAACTCAGCTCTGCTGCAACTTTTGGGAAATAAGATGAGCTGATGCAGATATCAACATGGGTTTAATGTAGTGAACAAAGGGTGGGTGATGAGTACAGTGCTTAAGTAAAATTAGTCTGTGGCATTTGTCTAAACTGACATTACGATGCAAACATCAAGTAGCATGATGTTTTTGAAAACAGTCCTTTTAACGGTGACCCCGCCTTGCACCTTTTGTCCCAAGTGCACCATGTCAGTAAAACCAGGACTATCTTGGGAACTGACTTATTTTTTAATGTTGTTAGTTTTATCTTCTGTGTAATATTAATGAAATAAAACAAAAAATGTAAATAGCCAGTTAACCCTAATTATGTATGAAGATAATAAATGCATTTTCATTTGATTGAGGTTGTAAATATTCTTTGAAAGAAGAAAAGCACAGCTGTTCCAATCATTAAGAGTGTATTGCATAATTGATGCTATTATAGTGCAGCATTCCAATTTCACTTGACTTTTTTTTTTCCTCATAGACTTTCATGGTGTTGAATAAAAATAGAACCATCTTCAGATTCAATGCTGCTTCCATCTTCTGTACTTTGTCCCCCTTCAGCACTATTAGAGGAACAACTATCAAAGTATTGATACATCCATATCCTTTTCTTTTGGCTTCTTGAGTGTGTTTTAAAGGGCACTAATATGAAATCAATTATTCTATTAGCCAACTATTCCTGCAGATGGTTTGTTGTTCAGATTGATATCTTGTATTACACTGAAGCCTGCAAAATGTTGCAATAATTATTTCCTATATAAAATTAGGAAGTGTATTTTCTAATATTCTCAGTAGTAGTAAAAATCAACAAATATTAATTCACATCTCTTTATTTTTAACAAGAATTATACATATTTTGAACATTTACAATTATATTTTATTCCATGTGCATCTGAACACAGATGATAAAATTTATATTTTCAAATGTTATTGTTCATTATTTCTTGACTGTAACTTACTCTTTTCCAACTCTTAATGTTACTTAGTGTCCTGACTGATTTTATATTCATGACCATGATTAATTTTCCAGAATGGGGGCCAATAGTACAGTAAGTCATATAATTTTATTTTCATAATATCCTGTATAATAACATCTTGTTTCTACCATTTTACTTATTTTAATATCATATTTTAATGAATTATACATTGTATAATATTACACAATTTAACATTTATATTTTATACATGTTGTGGCAGAATTTTATAAAGTAGTATTTATATATGTATAATAATGTATGAAATTTCAAAATTAAAACAAACATGTCAGTTCATCAGTTTTAGTATGTTTCTACCTTTTCATTATTATTTGTTAGATTTTTTTTTTTTTCAGAACCAGGGATTGAACTCAGGCCCTTGCACTTGCCAAGGAAGCGCTTATTCTACTGAGCCATCTCCCCGGCCCTGCTAGATTTTAATTATGTCTGTTTCTCAATGAATCAGATTAATACTTGATTCTTTAATAGTACATTTATTTCATGGTGTAAAACAGATGGCATTTTATTGAAAACTCAATTATTAATAATTAATATTCCTGTGCCTTGGGTCTTTACTGTTACAACACCAAATATGATTTTTTTCTAGCTCACAAAATCTTCCATTTATTAAGAAATTCTTAGTGTCCTAGTCTACTTCCCTTCTTAACGGATGTAAACAGTCTCACATACATAACACTTTTTTTAAAATTTTTTTTTGAGCAGATCATATTTATTGAGAGAAAGAAAGCTCCTATCCCAAAAGAGGGACAGGAGGGAGGGGCCGAGCGGGTAGTTCCCACCACCCCCCATAAGACTTTAATGGTAAAGCATCTGTTAAATTTTCTAGGGATGAAAGCTTACTGAAAGTTACGTCTTGAACTTTATTCTTAAAAACTGTTGGCTTTGGAAGGTTTACTTTACACAAGTTCATCAGAGAAATTCTTTATCTTGTGTCTTTGTGTACTTCATTATCCATTTTTAATTATTGTGCAATCACATGGAGTCATTTTGCTGTTTTCATAATTAACCTAAGTAGTATGAAAACCCAGCATCTTGTTGAAAGAGGACTTGTGGAAAAGTTGGCAGTCAAATTTCATAGCTGATGCCACAAGATCAACTGTCCTAGAAACTCTATCTGAAAGCATTGTGGTGAGGCTCAAGGGGCACTTGCTGCTTTGATTGTTATCTGATTAGTTGGTTTTACCTGCCAAATAGAAATGTGTTCACGTTTTCATGACTTGTTTGTAAATACCATACAGCTATCATAAACATAATATTTCTGGAAGGACACAGTACTATTCTTACTTTCACTAATGTAAAAATTTTTCTGCAGGCATACCTTGCTTGGAATTTATACATTTGAAATACTTGTAAAAGTGATTGCAAGAGGTATCTGGGCAGGACATTTTTCTTTCCTTGGGGATCCTTGGAATTGGCTTGATTTCAGTGTGACTTTGTTCGAGTAAGTATTTCTTACTTAAGTGGCAACATCTCAACCTTTTGTGAAAATAATGCTTCCAGCTTAAAAATTAAGATTTTCAAACACTTTGGCTTGCAAAGCTCGTGCAAGTAAGGAATGTATCATAACTTATACCGAGTCTCTCAGTCAGTATATCTGATGGAAATGAAAGAATACGTTTTCTACTTTTCTATCCTGAGCAAGAATACTGGTGTTTTAACTTATGCATTTCATATGTCCTTTGAGCAAGTAGATCATTCCCCAATAGTAAAACAGTATCCCAGAGTATGAATTCTCAGTTCCTCAGTCAGTGTGTCATTTAGCCACCTTGCTTGAGTTCAGTAACATATGAAGTATAAGAATGAGGTATTTTAAAAATTAGTCATATGTATGTTTTACATATTTTTATTGGTTTTGTCTGCAGTACATAGTGTGTACATCCTTTGTGTGGGGTTGCTGCAGGCTCAGGGCACAGCCCAATTACATTTTTCATCCTTCTCCCCTCCCCACTTACTCAGTCCCCTTGGAATCTGAGAAAGGTATCTGTCCCTACTTGATATAATCTGTCTCTTATTTTTCTCCTTATTTATAATTTCGGTTTATTTTAAGTGCAAGCAAATTTCTGCAGTGCTTTGTACAATTCCAATTATTTCTAATTCTTCCATTTGGTGTATTTTTATAGACATGGAAATGCTCACAAGCACCACATTCTGATTAAAACTAATTTTAAGTGACATTCTGTTTGGTCAATTTATCTTTAGAAGATAAGCTTTATAAAAATTTAAGTAGTGTCTTTTATATTGTCAACAATAAAAACAGAGCAAATAATCACTATAACTGCTATTATGAGCTCCATGATTACTATAAGTATGTTCTTTATTCCTCTTATTGCAAGACAATATTTACATACTTAGCTAAAATCATTTAAAGAGCACCTATGTATTAGGTGCTCTTTCATGCACTTAGAAACAATATCTCATTTAATCTCTACACAAGCCTCTGAATCAAGAAATATTATCCCCAGTTTCCAATCGAAGATACTGTATAAAAAAGATTAGCTAACTTTCTCCTGTTACACAGCAAGTGGTGGAACCTACATTTCTATGAAGGCGGTCTGCCTGCAGGGTCTGGGCCTCGGACTGAAATGCACTGCCCCTTCTGTAGCCAATCACTGCTCACCATCTTCCAGTCAGTTGCTCTCCTCCTGATTTTCAACCTCGCCATTATTCTCACAGCCACCATTAGCTGCTGTAAATCTCATGCTTTTAAAAAAATCTACAAAATTTTCTATCTTATCTGTATTATCAGTAATATAATAATCCAGTACTTATAAGAATAATGTGGAATATTTGATATACAAGAAATGTGGAATATTTGACATGCAAGAGTAGTTAGCGTCAAACTGCTGTAAACACTCATAATTAGTTTGTTGATTAATATTTACTTCTTTCCCTTGTTTGTAACAATTTTTGTCTTCTAAACAACAATAAAATTATTTGAAAAATGAAAATGATCTAAATAAGTAAACTACTTCAATGTGAAATTTTAAAATAAATTTCAAAGAGCATAAAAAGCTGAACATCAATAGCAGAGACTCAGTATGATTTGTCAATAACTCTAACTTACTTCTACAGGATTGTAACAAGATTCTCACCTCTAAACATAACTTACAAGCTTGAGGTTATAAGAACTTTGAGAATTTTGAAAGTCATTCCTTTAAGCCATGGTAAGAAATGTCGTTGAATATTTTTTATTGTGTTACACACACACCTATATAGTCATTTGAACTCTCTTGCTCCTCAGAGAACTTGGTAAATTGACAACAGTTTCTATTTTAGATTTCTGATAATAGTCTGGGCAGATGTCTAGATACCTCCTCTATTGTTCATTGGATCAAGAAAACAATTGAAAGAAACCAAGTAATGTAAAATATGACATTTCACTTTGCTGAGAGCTTGCACAGGATGCAGTCTGCATACTATAAATTTTGAAGGTGTTTATGAAACACAAAATAAATTGTCTGTGCTATTGCAGGTTCTTTTAATCCAGAGAGGTTATCACTACTTTACAAATACATGCTCTTCCTGTGAGCAGACTGAGATGACCTGTGAAAATGGTTCACTACTCTCTTGACCCAGACAACCCCACAAAATCATGCAAATCAAGAGGCTCAAATCTTTGCGTTCACTTTAAGAAACTGTCCAGGCCATCAAGGGTATGCATATCCCAACAGCCACCAAGTATCTCAAGGATGTCACATTAAAGAAGCAATGTGCGCCACTCTAGCATTGTAATGGTGGAGTTGGTAGGTGTGCCTAGGCCAAACAGTGGGTCTGGCCACAGGGTCCGTGGCCAGAAAGAGTGCGGAACATGCTTAAAAGTGCGGAGAGTAGTGCTGAACTTAAGGATTTAAATCTAGATTCTCTGGTTATATCCAGGTGAACAAAGCATCCAAGATCTGCCACCTTACTTATAGAGCTCATGGCCGAATTAACCCATACATGAGCTCCCCCCTGCCATATTGAGATGATCCTTACTGAAAAGGAACAAATTGTTCCTAAACCAGAGGAGGAAGTTGCACAGAAGAAAAAGATATCCCAGAAGAAACTGAACAAACAAAAACTTACGGCACAGGAATAAATTAAGCATAAAATAAATACAAATAAAATTAATGTTGTTGGCTATTAAAAAACCCCACAAATATGTATAAAGATAGGAGCAGGGCCTCAGACATAGCTCAGAGGTATAAATGCCTGCCTGGCAAGCACAAGGTCTTGAGTTTGATTCCCAGTACAAAAAATAAATAGGTATAAACAAGGAAATCAGCTGTTGTACAGTACCAACATAAGAAAACCCAGCCATTCTCAGGCAGAAGATAAAAGTGTGATAATATAATAGATGAAAGCAAGTAACTTTAAGGTGAAAGGGTGATAAAAATTAAGATACCTAAGGTGATTAGTTAGTGGTCATAAGAACAGTAAAGTGTAGTGCCATTGGTGCTTTAAATAATGCCACTGTGAAAAGAAAGAATAGAGATCTTCTTTGCTGACCAAAAATGAGATGGAGCAATGGGAAAGAAAAAACTAAAATCCATTTCATGTAGAATTAGTGATCCTGAAAAATAAGCCAGCTAAACTGAAAAAGTTAATTATTCAAAAATATGTTAGAAAATCTTTTTTGATTTTTGTAGCAGAAGGAAAAAATTACTTACAAATGGAAAGGTCTCACCTTATACTAGACAATAAAACATACACTTAGACACAGTATAGATTATCAAGAAGCATTAACAATTAGTATTAAGTAAATCCTACCATCAATCAAATAGAGCCAGAGATTTCTGGGAAAGTCATTTTTGGACTGCCTTATAATAATAGGAGAATGTGAGAAGGGAGGTTGAGACACAAAAATTCTATACATGTATGTCACTTTCACAGAAAAATGTTGTGACCCATGTAAGAGCTCTTAAATTTTGTGTCTCTATCTTTCTTGAATAATTGTCAGGAAAGACATGAAAATAAGGTATCCAATAATGGCAACAATTAATTCAAAAATAAATCAGAATGATCTCTGAAACAAGTCCAGCAGAGGACAAATTTCAAATTACTAGTGTTTGTAGAATATAAAGCAAGAGTTCCCATATAGACATCTGTGATCCATTCTTGAACTCAAGGTACATTTTATTTTTGGAAAATTTTGAAATATATGCCAATATTATAAAATTCTTCAAAATCTAAACTAACTCAGATTAATTGCCAGCTGCACTCATTTCTGATGGGCAGTATACTTGTTGTATTGATCAGCTTCCTCTTTCAGGTCAGGCATTCCTATCCAAGTTCTCTCAATGTCTGCTCCATAAATTCTACCTTTCTGTCAAGCCCTTGAAAAGATTTGAATGCTGCTTGTCCTACAATGTACGATACAAAATATATCATAGCTCACCATTGTAACTGTCGAGATTCTAAGTTTATACTATTAACAACTAATAAATCAGAATAAGAACATGCAATAAAGGAAATATGATTTTTTTATCTTACATGGTGAAATAAGAGGTTGTATGGTCTTTTCATTTATTTTTTTATTTTCTGTGATCCTGAAAATCTAACCCAGGGCTTACCAGTGGCTCCTGGCATGCTGGGAAATGTTATATCACATGGTTGCCCATAGCCCTCAGTCTTGCAAATTTTTTAATGTGGAGATTTATGTGTTAGTTTAAAGTAATAATTGATGGCTAGAGAGATAGATCAGTGCACCAGCGCCTGCCTGGCAACACCAGGTCTGGAGTTTGATCCCAAGAACCATAAGATAAAATAAAATAAAATAAAATAAAATAAAATAAAATAAAATAAAATAAAATGTGACAATATCTCTCAAAGCAAACATATTTAACCCAAACACAAGAAAAAAGAAAATTGAATCAGGGAAGACACATTGCATTGTAAGGGAAATTTTTAAAAAATCTGCTGTGTAGGGTGACTTTCCTCTATGGTTCTGGCTCTGCAAGAGGTTAAGTCAGCAAGTTCTCTTAATTTGAGCAGTGTGAGACTAGTCTGGAAAATGGAAGGAGGCCTTGCTTTCCACTAAACCAATAAATACATTTTCAGTTATCATAGCAATAACAAATAACTATTCTCATGTTAATGATAATAAAACAGCCATAGAAACACTGCTAATTTCTTCAGTATCAGAAAGTTATATTATCTCATACGTTTTTGAGCTGAGCAGTTCCTAAATACACACAGACAAAGAACTCTGAAGAAAGCACAAAAAACACAAAAAAGGGCAGAGGGGAGGAAAAAGTTAGTTTATGTGCCAAAACATTAATGCCAATTTTGCAAAGAAGTATAATTGCATAATTTTTCCTGTTTTCAGTGTTTCACACTTCTTATTTAAAAGAAATATGAAAGTTCTTCAATAAATTCAGCTTTGAATTAGAATTCTGGATTAGAAGAATTATTCTCATAAAAGTAGTTTCCTTCTATCAGTAGATTATCCACATTACTAATTGGTATAATTTTTGTCCACAGGTTTTGTTTAACTAGATCCAAATTTGAATTATTAGAATTAATTAAAGAATAGTGTACTGCAGTTTTTAATCATTTATAGTTATAACAATTTCAGCCCATTTTAATTTATAATTTATATAGCAATTTTGCTTGCATTTGACAGAGGTAGATGGTATGACATACATATTCAAGAAAGAACCTCTGATTCTTTCTGTAGTAAAGAGAAACAACCAGAACCACCCATCATTATAAATACTGTACCTGAATTATTTCATTAGATATTATACTTTAACATTAATACAGACACTTCAAAGTTTGACTTTTATTCACATTGGTAGCATAGAACTATATAAAGAGACTTTAGACAACAGGTGCGTTCACTTCATAAGAGCAGTGTTTCTATTTTATCATAAACACACATTTGTCTTTCCAGGTCTGAACTCAACGGTAGGGATTCTGATCCATTGTCTGAAGAAACTTGCTGGTGCCATTGCCCTAACTCTATTTTTTCTGAGCATATTTTCTCTAACTGGGATGGGTCTCTTTATGGGCAACCTGAAGCATAAATGTTTGTGGTGGCCCCAGGAAAATGAAAATGAAACCCTATACAACAAAACTGGAAACCCACATTACATCCCAGGTAAGACTCATTCACCATCTGTGTAAAAATTTTAAACTTCTCAAAGACAGAGGAGTCTTCTCAGAAATAAACACTCAACTTCAAAGCCAACTACTAGTTGGTCCTAACTAGTGTGCTTAAACACAAGTTTGGTTCAGTTTCACTGATGAGGATAGCAGTGTTCCCAATCTTCAGCAAGTTACGTCAGGAGAACTGAAATTTTGCAGATGATATGCTTTATAAAAAGTACAACAGTGTTATTTACAATTTCATTAGGGAGATCTTAAAGTATGGTAGTTGTACTGTAATAGTTTCATTCAATAAATGTGCTTTGTATATGAATGTAAATTTACACATTAAAATTTTTGAGATGAAAGGTAAAAATCAAAACATGGCCTACATTACAGAAATTCTTACCATTGTTGGGGTTCACAAATGAGTTTGTGCCAAAAGTACTGTGAGCTCTACCTTCACTAATGAATATATTTTGAACATGAAAATAACAGAGTAAACATTGATTAATTTTTAAACATTAGTAATTCACATGTCTTTTCTCTTGTCTTCATCATAATTGTTTCAGAAGAGGCATTGATATTCCTTACTTGGTTGTGAGCAATGAAATGAGAATGCAATGACATTAAGTGACTGTTGCAGGATATTATAATTATTAGGTAGCAACACTATGACTGTAGCCAAGCTCAGACATTTTTGAACTATTCCGTTAGACAATATGTTCTTATTGGATTTGTCTTTCAAATTCAAACTATAAGGTCTTTCCTGAAAATATTTAAAAAAATAAGTACCCCTATTATATGTTAATAAATCTTTATTGTCTTTCTATTGTATTTTATTTCCTTTCTGCATATAACAATTTCTAAAACAATGAAATATTTGACTTGGTTTATGATGATGCGAACAATAGAGAATTATTTATGTGAGCATGTCACACCCTCTCTCGGGGCCCTGGTGATGAAAATGAAAGAACGTGGAGATTAAATCTGGCATTCCCACTGGCATTCTTTCGGTTTCTTTTTTAAAAGATAATAAAAAATAGTAATAACATTACAAATAATACAGAATTTCACTAAACAAAATAATAATAGAAATTCAATAATGACTTTTATATCGCACAATGTCCTCAAATTAGTTGTTTTGATTGCCAGGTATAAGCAGGTAAAGTTGGTTAAAAGATTATAAGGAAATAAATAGAAAAAAATGATGCATTAACTGTTCCTTTCAATAGACCAGGAGAAATCAACAGTATAATTACCCAAGATATCTCATATATATACATAAGTATAGCTTTTCTCCTTCCTTCTTTAGTTTGCTTATCTTTTTCCTCCCAGTTGTTCCTTTCTTTTGAACAGATTCTTTCACTTTCACAGTATCTATCATACCTCTCAGATTTTATTTACTCTTTCAGGCACTTATACTAGAGAGACAACATGATGTTTGCACATACAGCTCTGATTTATTTCATTTGTCAGTATGGTCTCTAAATCCATTCATTTACCTATCAAAGCATCAAGTTTATAATTTTTATAGCTGAGTAATACTCCATTGTGTAAAAATGCTATATCTTTTTTTTTTATCTATTCCTCAGTTGATGGGCATTTGTGTTGTTTCCAAGATTTAGCTATGAAAACTTGCACTGCTATAAACATGGATGCATTTGTTGTTGGTTGACTTCATAATAGCCATTCTTTCTGGGTTAAGGTGTAATCTCACTGTTATTTTAATTTGTATTTCACAAATTACCAATGATACTGAACATTTCTTCATATTTTTTGCCATTTGTATTTCTTGATCTAAGAAGTGTATGCTCATCTCAGATGTCCATTTATGGATTGGGTCATTGAATTTTGGGGGTCTGATTTTAAAAAATCATTATATGTTCTTTATATGTTATGTCTTTTTGTCTGAGGGACAACTACCTAAAAAAGTTTTCCCAATTCATGGCTTTTCTTTTTCACTCTGTGGGTGATTTCATTTATACAGATTAGCATTTTAAACCTTTCTACATTCTACCTATTACATTTTGTCAAATGACATGTCAAGAATTGTGAAAAATATTATTTATAAGATATTGTTAACTTAATATCTGTGGTAATGTTCTTAAAAATAGAATACTTGATATCATTTTTAATAAGTTTATTGGTACAATTTACATGGATAAATAGAACCTACTCATAAAAGAGAATTTGTATATGATATAATCATTTGCATATGATATAATCTTGATTTCTCTTTTTTCCCAGTCTCTTCCCCTCCATTAAACCCTTATTACTTCCTTTATTTATAAAATGTTATTACCACCTTACCTATTTTATCTTAAAATTATGTTTGTTTCCTTTCCCCTTCTCCCTTCCTGTTTCCTTTTCCCATTTGAACAATTTCTACTTCATATATATATATATATATATATATATATATATATATATCTTTATATATATTTTGGTCCTTATTTACACTTTCAGTTTCTCACACAAGAAAAACTGTTTGTCATTTACACATGTGTGTCCAATTTATTTCACTTAAGGGTCTTTTTCAAGGTTCATTCATTTAGAAATGATTGAAACTTATCCTTCATTTTTGCTAAGTCATACTCCATTATATGAAAAAGTCTTTTTTGTTTGTTTGTTTGTTTTTTACCATTTGTTGGCTGATGAGCATTTGGGCTGTTTATAAGAGTTAGCTCTTTCAAGGGCCAGCCAAATAGCTCAGTGGATTATAGAGTCTGCAAGCAGGTGCAGGGGCCACAGGTTAAATCCCCAGGCTTGCCTCGCTGGCCCCAACCCCGGGGCATGCTGAGATGGCAATTGAGACCAAGCATGGTCTCACGAGCCTGTAATCCCAGCTCTTGGGAGGCTGTAAACAGGTGGATCACTATGAATCTGATCTAGTAGTGAGACCCTGAACACCCTGTAGACCCTTCTCTAAAATACAAAACAAAAAAAAAAGAGTTATTACAAATTCTGCTACTAAAATATATGGAAATATATATATTGTCGTGGTATGATGTCTTAAATCTTCTGGGAAGAAACCCAGAGGGGGAAGAGTTGGATCAAATGGGACCTCTCCTCGGTAGTGTCCCAAATTTTCTGATCAAGAAGATAATGGGGCCAAAGAGGAAAGTGATCGATGACGTAGAGTGTGCCTAAGGAGAGTCACATGGGGAGAAGACACTCTCTCAGGCTTTCACAGAGAGCACATTGGCCAAGCATTGGCCGTGACTCATCCACATGACTGACACTGACAAAGGTTCTACAATTGGAGATACAGGATCTCAGGATAAATCCTGAGGGCATTTCACTGACCTTGTCAGACCAAAAAGCTACAACTCTTGTTGCACAGGTCCTGCTTTACCTTGGTCTTAACCATCCAGTAGAAAAGTATGAAGATGAAATATAGGAAGTAAAGCCATGTTGTTATGTTGAGCTGTGGGGGACTCAGGTCAATAATTTCTGACATTGCCAGTTAAACAGAAGACCCAATGCTATTGTGGGCTACTGGACTCTTTTAGAATATTTTGCTGAGTTTACACACCTATAATATTCAACAACGGAACTTAAAAAAATTGGGGTATAACTATGAATGTCCATTTTGTATCTGTGTATTCAAAGTGGTTGGGATAGATATATAGTTGCATTCTCTTAATGAATAGAATGATTTTTTCTAATGGTGTTTGTAAGTAGGATCACAAGTCTGCATCTTGTACAACAATTAACCACTAAGAAGAATATATGCAGTGTATTATTTGTTGAAACTGTACTTTCGATTTGATCTGAAACTGTCTCATTGCTATGTGCTTATCAATAAAACTTTGAAAAGGAAAAAAAACAAACAAACAAAAAAAATGGGACCTCTGACTCTAGTTTTTTGAGGACTCTTCATACTAATTTCTACAGTGATTGCACCTTTCTATGCTGCTCTAAACAGTGGGAGAGGGTTCTGTTTTTTTCTCAGAGACCCTCTAAAATTTATTGTTTGATTTCTTCATAATAACTATTCTTTGTGGAGTGAGGTAGATTGGAATCTTAGGGATTTTTATATTTACATTTTGAATGACCAGTAATGTTGAATAATATTTTCATACAATTATTTGCTGTTTGTATTTCTTCATTTAAGAAGTGTATGTTCGTGCATGATGCTCATTTTGGATGGGGTTTTTCAATTTGAGGGGTTTGGCTTTTTTAATGTTTTTATGCCATGATACGAATCCTTTGTCTGAAGCATAATTGGTTAAATTTTTTCCATTCTATTGTTTATATTTCATTCCATTAGTAATTTATTTTGCTGTGCAAAAGCTTTGCAGTAGGATAAGATGCCAGTTGTTGATTTTTTGTTATATTTCCAATTTTTTCAGGGTTTTGTTCTTGAAATCTTTGACTACATCGTGACTGCAAAAGTTTTACCTATTATCTTTCCTAGCAGATTTAATATTTCTGTTTTAATATTTAGGCCTTTGGTCCACCTCAATTTTAGTATAGTGAACTGTGAGAGACATGGCTTTAGTTTTTGGCAGGTGGAAAGCCAGCTTATGTAGCACCATTTATTTAAAAGCCTTATTTCTAGTTAATATGGTTGGCCCCTTTGTTAAATATAAGGTGTCTGAATATGTTTGGAGTTGTTTCTACATCTTCTAATCTGTTCCTAATCTGTTCCTGGACATTCAACAGTGTTTCTTTCTTTGTTAATTATTATTATTTTTTTTTGGCATAACTGGGGATTCAACTCAGACCCTTGTGCTTGCCAGGCAAGCACTTATTCTACTAAGCCATCTCCCCAGCCTCTCTTTGTTTACTTTTCCAAGTACCTTGCAGTTTTATCATAGTAGCTTTGTAGTATAATTTCAAGTCAGAGATTATGATACCCCTGGCCTTTCTTTTATTGACTAGGATTGTTTTTGCTTTTTTGTGTCTCCTCAGTTTCCAAATCAGTTAGGAATGTTTTCTCTAGATCTGTGAGGAATGCTGGTGGCATTTTGATTGAGATTGCACTGTTTGTATCACAATTATAAC